CAAAGTCAAAGTTGGAGAAAAAGAATTGTTTGAGATTAAAAAAAATTAATAATTAAATTTCGGAATCAAGTTCAAAATTGGAAATATTAAAATTCTGAGATTAAAACTAATTAAATTTCTAAAATCAAAACCCAAATTGAAAAGAAATATTATTAAAATACAATTTGAGATTAAAATAAGTAGGTTTCTAAAATCAAAGTTCAGAGTCAAATTAACACAAACCCCAAGTTGATTAATGTGCGTTAAATTTAAGATACAATCAAAACTGATTAAACTGAAAGTCTTAATTACCCTTTGGTAATTATCAAGTTATCAAAATTCCAATTGCTATAAAAGTCAGAGTCCAAATTACATTTATAATGAATGGGGATTAAAGAAAGCCTAGTGGGAAAGCTATGAATCCAAATGATTAAGCTTAATGTGGGCTTCCGAATTCCAACAGTCCAGATAACAAAAGGTTAACAAAATTCTAATCAAGATGTTATTCTGTATTTACCTTATTCCTGCAAGGATAAAAAAAAAAAAATAGCACTACAGAAAAGGCTTCAAAATGGGAAAAGTTCAAATCAGGGATATTGCAGCAGTAGTGAGAATTAACTTTTATTCCAATATAGCTGAGTCTAAATTAGATAAGCCAACTTTGAATAAGAGATTGCATCAAATTATTAGAACTATTCAGTGTAGTTCTTGGTTAGGGTGCAAAGTTGGCTCAGTCCTTTTCTAAAGCAACACCTAAGAGATCTTTAAAATTAGTAGGTATTCAAAGAAGGAGAGCTTGGGCTCTATCCTGCACTCAGGGAGCAACACTCCAAATTAACTTAACACACTGGCTTATGTGTCTGAAAGTCAGTTATCCAAATTTGATCACAAAAGTCTGGTGTAATTCGCCAGACTCTATAGTCCCACTTCTGACACTAGTGACGCAGAAATCGATTTAGTGCAGAGCATGTAATTTGTTCCGCCAGCCCAGAGGGGAGCTGTGGCGCAGCTTAGGGCTGTTTCGTTCAATGGGCCTGACCTGCCACTTGGGGCGCTGTGGGTCGGTTCGTTTCACGATATAGCAGAAGAAGAGAGGCTTCCTCTCTGACTATGGTCCTCGGACCCAGTAGCTGTTAGCCTCAGGCTAACGCAGTTAGCAGATCGTTGCCGTGGCAACGCAATAGTTCACCAATCAGAGTTTCGCACTAGTTCCCCCCAGCTCTCGATACAAGTCCCGTTCGCGGGGTCAAAAAGGGGATTGTCTCCCGTTTATTTAATTCAGCTTGATCCAAGCCTCAATTTTAGCGTAGCTTGGCTCGGGGCAGGAACGCCTCCTTGTCAAGTTTCGGACGCTGTATAACTCCACTGCAAGCAGCTGTTTACTATTTAAGTAGCTAGTTTAAATAGAAACGGGAGTAGTTGCTGATAACCTAACGATCAACGGCTCCGCGCGTCTAATCGTTATTTATAGCTGCAAACAAATTATACTGGCGCAGCGCAGCTATAATCTTTTGCCAAAACAATAACCAGCCTTAATTCACAATGAATTCACAATCTTAGTTCTCGAATTTATTTCGTCAAAGCGGATTTGTCTACTCGTCAGCAGACAATTAAATGTAGTTCAATCTCATACGGTTACCGTAACTTACTCAATCAGACATTAGTTCCGCGGCTGGAACGCGGTACAGTTTAGCTCAATTACAGATTATTGAATCATAAACACAGGATTAAATTTCAAAAGCAGGTTAAGGAGTAGAGGGCCACTTTACACACACATTTCAGCAATAGGTCAGACATCTAGCAGAGAGAAAGCATTCTGAGGAGCGACTTCATTATTGGTTAACTGTTGGTATTAAAACCCAATGTATGTGGGAGAATTTCAGTATTTCAATTTATAATTTCACAGCGTCAAGGATGTGTGTGTACTATCAGAGTTAAGAGTTTTCACACGCCTCACGGGGGGCACCATTTGTAGCAGATCTCGGCTACGTAAAATTTTAATACAGTTATGAAAATTAATATTTCCGGGAATATTAATTTTATACCTCGAAATTAGGAGCACCACCTAAAGATTTGCTTGTCCGCCCAAGGCTTTAGGTCCTTGAGTATAGCCTGAGAATTATACCGAGTTCGGTTAATTCATTAGTTGTTATTCTGAAATCGTAAGGTCAGTCAGTCAGTCTCAGATCTGAGCGTAAGTTCTGTGTATAGGGACTCTAGATTCTGAATAACACACACATACATCGCTGTGCTCAAAGTGAATTTATTAACTAACAAAAGAGAGTACAATAGTGGGTAAATGTGGTGATATTACAGGGTAACAGTTAATATGACCACAAGGAGGTACTAAAAGGGTAGCCTATGTAAGGTTCGATTGAGTTTTAGTTTATTGTAGAGGGAGAGAATTCTACGAGTATGAGGGAACGAATAACCGAAATTGGGTTGCAGATTTAGCTTGTCTAATCTAAGGGTTATTAACTGTGGATGGAGCCCATAGATCACCAACGAGTCACAGAGTGTTGTTTGTTTTGGCCTACCGTTGCCGCAGGTCCCGTGGCGAGGCTCGACTGCCGGTTGACTCGGGAAGTCGGTTCTGGCCCGACCCCAGTGGCGTTTTCGAGTTGGGTTGAAACCGGTGGATTGGTTCCGGAGTCCTCTGTGGGAAGCGCTTGCAGCAACGGGCTGTCAGCCAAGGCTTTTGCTCTGATCTCAGTTCGTTTGGTGTCGCTATAGGGCCCACTCAGGGTTTTGGTCGTCAGAGCCGTAGTTTCATTTATTCAAGGCCATAAATGAAGGCTTCTGAGTTTCTGGTCCAAAGTTGCTCACAACGGTCGGATGGGGTTGCAACAACAAAATCAAATAAACTCACACATTCACCGTAGGTTCGCGACGCCTCGGGAATATCGGCTATTTAATGTTGCTGAGGTTAAACAGGCAGCTCCAAACAAAATAAAGAAAATCAAATCTCCCGCTGAGAAATTTGGAATTCAGGGTCGTAGCCTTCTCAGCTCGTCTGAAGGAAATTTAAGTACGAAACAAAATCGGAATTTCAAAAGTAAAGGAAGTTTAAGAGAACGTATACGTTTAGTTTCAAGAAAGTTTAAACGAAGAGTTTTGAAGAGGTAAGAAGCCTAGAACAAAAGACAGCAAGGCCTTTTTATTGATTCCGCTAGGTAGTGACGTCAATTTTGGGGATGGTCTCACAAACGTCGCTAAGGTGTTAACTTTTGGGATAAAGAAATATACGTTGCGCGTATGTCTCTTTGATCTCTCTCTCCACAATATCGACATTTGGAAAAATACTTAGTTCTAAACATTCGGATAAAGACAGTTAAAACAAGGCTAAACACTATGGAAAAAGTTTATAATGGTTATATAAAACGTAACAAAGCTTGATTACATGTCCTCAGTATACTTGCTGGTTACTGGTTTTAACTCATGAGACAATTTAGATGTCAGCATGACAGTATAATTTCGTTTATGCAATTACGTGGTGATAGTTAGGCCTACTTAACAATTCTGTCAGTGTAAACCGAGTTTTAAACACTTGCGTGTTATACCTTTCTTGTCCCCTTGGTGGCGCTCGGGTCACACAAGAAAAGAGTAGACATTCCACTTTAACTGAGAGGCTGGTGATGCCTACGAGCGTTTCCATGGATAATTTAGTAAGAAATTGTATATGAAACATTTAACTAAAGCATTAGTTAGCATTGAATAGACAGTGATTACTAGGGAGTAACAGGAATGACTTAAGACAACACAGAATGAGGTTAGAAAACTAGTTCAAGATTACTTTCTTATGGGTCTGCTAGTCTTCAAACATCACTAAAGGATAACAACAGGGTTATTACTTACTAAACTCAGAGGCTAACACTGCTGCTCACTTAGCAAGGTTATTATTTAAACAGAATAAACACAGTTATACTGGAACCTTGCTTGGTTTGAGTAACAGGGGTTTTTATGGTCTTCTCTGCATTCCTGGCTTATCGCACAGGATATCAGAGAATGAATTGGTGGTTTATGGCTCAGCCGTTCTGTGGGAGAAAAGAGTCAGATTGAGGCTGGAGGTGACCTGCTGGAGGGAAAGGGGTCAGATCGCCCCTTTTCCTGTCCTGTGGACTGTCTTTAGTGACACCTTTACAGCTAGAAAGGTTCACTAAGGCTCTCTGAATACACAATCCTTAAGCGATTCATTGTCTGATTGAGTCTCTTTCGGTCCTTACCAACACCAGGCGATGTCTCTGGGTTTTACATGTGAAAGAGGTCAACTCTCGGGGGGAAACTTCCCTCCCTCTTTTGACACCATCTGACCTTCTTTGAAGTGCGTCTGGTTGCGTTCACAACACTGGACTTGGTAGACACTCAGAGAGGTTTCATCTCTCATCCAAGAGACTTCTTCACTTCTGGCTGGCTGGTAGGGAAACCCAGCCATTGAACCCCTGTGGCGTTTAATCAGTTACTTAAACTTCTGCTCTTGTGTTTTTGGTAGAACACCCACTTAATTCTTTATACGTAGTATCACTTTTACTACAGCCCCTTGCATAACGCTTTGGGATGTGGAGAAAGCATGTCAAAGCTTGGTCTACTGTGCTTTAGATACAGTTGCTAAGCTATGGATTGACTGTTGCTGATTAGGAGAGGGGTTTTAGCAAACGGTCATGCTAGAAAAGGACTAGTTCATGTAAAATGTTTGTAGCAGTTGTAGCACATGAAAAGTAACTTGAGTGAGAAGTTCAAACCCCCTTTTCTCATCTCCACACCCCTGGTGCCTTGACTAATGTGACCATAGTATTCAAAATAAGCATCACAAGAAGCAGAATGTTTTCAAAAGTGAGAGGCACAATGTGACAGTATGATTAACGAAAGAACATCATTCTTAAAGATCCCTACAGAATTTTATATTGAGCTCTCGACTCTTTTAACAGTAAAAATTCACAAACCTGCCTGTTGCAAACAAGCCAGCATCACTAGAAGTGCAGAAAAAAATGGCCACTGTCTTTTCTTCCATGTTTCCCCTCCAGATCATCAAGAAATCCTGTATTGAGATTTTGGCAGCCGAGCCCTCCAGTGTGTGTGCAGGAGGTGGGGAGCTACAAACACACACTCACACACACACTCACACACAAACTGAAGTGGGTCCCTCCTGGGTCATCCACACCGGTGCCAGCCTCCCATCATTTCTTCAACTGTGTTAATTTCATTACTGTGTGCCCGGTCTCCCAGCCTCTCACCTCAGTAATGACAATCCCAGGCAGAAAAATGGCCCATAAATGGGCATCCAGGTCATTTACAGGAAAATCTATTGGGACAGGGTACCGCAGTGGGAATATATTATAGGGTCTGACCGTGAGAGAGTGACAGTGGTGACATTGGCTACAACTTAAATGTAAAGTAGACAACATCCTTTAGTGTCCTGCCAAGAGAAAGATTATGACAGTTAAAGCAACATTAAATGGACATTAAAAGGCACAAATGAACAGATAAAAGCAGGGGTTCATTAAACACTTATGGCAAAAGCAGAGGGACTTTTTATTGCTTCTCACATCTGCTTTTGTCTTTTATTAAGCAGTGAATTACTTTCGTCCTTGAAGAGGAAAAGTATTTCACTTGAAAATGAATAATAGTCACTGTTCTGCTGCGACTTTGTGTACTGCACTATCCAGGTCGGCCCTGCAGGTTCAGTCTCATCTTCATACGTTTATAGCAGAGTGTTTTCTCTGTGTTACAAGCAACATTGCAACTATAACAATAACTGCTGAGTGGCTCAGTTGTGGGGTAGAAAGGCTGATTTTGTTGTATTTTCTTTATTTAGATTCCTTCTGCCCAATTACTAGCAAATTAGGGCTCATAAATTATAAAGTCACATGACTAACTAGCTTGCCTGTTCAGTTGACAACCTTATACCCTGCCAGATTAGAGGTTTGGCCCAAAACTAATGTGTTTCTCTTTTACTGTAACACAAGCAGCATAATGGACTGTGTATCTTGGTCTTTTTGCTTGAAATATATTAGATACATTTATATAACAGTGACAATAAGTTAGATGACAGATATATTTATATTAGGAAAATAGGGAAAAGAAAAATAGATGTAGATAAATGCACGTACTGTAACCTTTTTGTCAAGTACTGTTCATAGACACAATAGATACCCATATACTATACATTCATACATATTTAATGTAATTTCATATAAATAATAAATGTATGGAATGTCTTGAAAAATAGCTGACTGTGCATGCCAATCCAGAGTTTTATTTGTTCTATTTGATTTTTTTCACCACAATACAGTTCTAAGATTTGAGGACTGTGGCCCATATTTCCAGATGTGTTGGTACAGTTTTATTTTGGTGTCACAGTTCAAATGTTATTGTCCTCTAACGGGCACATAAACTGAATTAATGGAGGAAGTCATTCAGAGTTTAAATACTGCCCTTCTAACCATGCTGGGTGTGAAATGTAATTGTGCAGTCTTAAACATGCAAAATACATACAGTATAAAACGTTAATTTTGCCTGGCAGAGAGTGTCAGTAGAAATGTCAATGTGTGTTGTGTAACCAGAGTCTTTCCAAGTGGTGGTGAGAGGAAATGGGTTTCTCCATGCCAGGAACATCAACCAGGTGCTCTGCAGCTTCAAAATCAACGACACCATTACAGTCAGTAAGTACACATACACTTTCAACAAAAGTTATCTCATTGCACGTTTCATAGAGCCGGTCTAGACTGTACTCTTCATAATAATATTAACAGAGACACAATCAAGAGGAAACCTCAAGCAGAACCATGACTAAGTGTGGACGATCATCTTCCTTTTTATTCCTAGTTTATATCCCTCTCTGTTTCTGTCATTTTCAGTCTTTTCCCAAGCGCACGGACCTGTGAACTCCACACATTGATAAACAAATTAAAAATATCAGCTTTTAACATCCATAAATATCTGTGTAGTATTTGTCTTCTAAGTCGATAGAATGAAAAAAATGCACAGCTAAATAGTTCAGACTGTGGAGGAGGAGGATGAATGTACTGTTGAGGAATGTACATTCATCCGAGTGTTGTCTTTGCTTCCTAGATGAAAAGCCGGCCGGCGTAGAAGACACATTTCTACTGTGTCCAGCTCCTGTCATCGATGAAGTTGGGAAGTAGGTGCCTCTTTTTTATGATTTTATGATTACATTTGTTCTCAGAGATCCTCTTTTAACTGTCTCAAGGGGAAAGGGCTTATATTTCACACTAAGAGGCCTCAAACACTGAGAAAAACACGTATGCATACACGTGTCTATGGGCACGGACCATAAGCCTGCCATACATTAGTTATTTTTATGATCCATATCCGTGGCTGCATTCCTCTTTTCTAGATCCCCAGTACAGCTTAGCAAAATATAAGCGGCTCTGTTGCCGTGCCAGCCCATGCAGGGGTAAACCCTTCATGCATTGGTCCTGCTTCTGTCCTGAATTAGAACAGAGCAGTGAAAACAACTGGAGACAATTGGTTTTTGATAAACTCCCCTGTAGTAGTGCAGCGGAGCAAAAGTGGACCAGTAGTTCAGCATAAATTTGTTTTTAAAGCTGCACTAATCAATATTTTTAAATTAACCATTGCTCAAATGACTATGTTTAATGTAGATGCACAGATCCAATACCAGATATCAGCCCGATACTGACTCAAATGGCTGGATCGGGTATCGTGACAAGGGGCCGATCTATGGGTCTGATCTTTTCAGTTTAATTACACACGTACTAAACGATGAATCAGCAGTGTGCCGATTGACCAGATCATTCAAGAGAGCTAACATGGCATTTTGTTTTACATAGGAAGCAATGCTTCAGTCAAGCCTGATGCTGCCTTACACAAAAGAATGATTCCCAGTCTCTTCCTCACAGTTAGCATTACAGTGTAATCATTTTACACTGGTATCGGAACAGTACTCTGCATTAGTGGAAACCCAAAGCCTACGTATTGGTATCGGGACTGAAAAAGTCGAAAGGGTGCATTACAAGTTTAATGTAAAAGGTTTAGCTTGTAGTGACAAACCCATCAAGAATAATCAGCCAGTCTCTTCATTCTTTGGTTCATTTTAGTGTCTTTAAGGCGATTGAAATGGTTTTACGGCCCACACCTTGCTGATGCTGTTTTGGTTCAGTCTCACTGCTTACATCAGCCATAAAAAACTTTATAATGTGATAATATGTCATTGTTGTGTTGGGGACAGGCACCTTTTTCCAGAAAAAAACGCCTAAAATAACATACCCAAAATGAATCAGGAATAACTCTTCAACCATTTGGCCTAGATACATAATTCTGGTCTCCTTTGAAAAGTCAGAAGCTAAGGAATATAAATCCATTGTATATTAATATATTTATTTTACTATTACAGACTACATGGGGTTGCATTAAAGAAAAAATCTATTTTCATCTTCGCCCGATCGAAAAAAAGCTATATTTTAATGCAATAAACCATCAAAACCATCATAAGGAAGCTTATAATGCAACTGAATATCTTCTAATACACCTAGAATGCAATTGTAACAGATTGTAAATCTGATGAAAATAAACTAAAATACAACAGTTATCATACAACATTATCAAAATATACCAGGCAAATGATCATATTTTGGCAATGTTTACAGTTAAAATGTTTTAATTTATTTGTAGATATATTTAAAACACTTTTTCTGTCCATACAACCAAGTTCCAAATGACAAAATATTGAAATATTGATAAAAAAAACTGTGAGTGTTCATCAACATTCCTGTCACCAAAAGCACACCCATGCTTTACAGGCCTGTAGATTGAGAACAGAACTTCCCACAGTGATGGGGGGGGCATCGATCCAGCTTGAGCAGACCTTTCATTTGGTACATGCATGGTACCTGCATGTCTATGTATCTCCAGCGAGTCGGCCACAAAATGGCAAAAAACACTGTGTGTTCTCAAGTATCCTCTTGAAATGTCGAGAGCAGGCAGGCAGCTTGCAGGTATTGCGCAATAATCAAAGCAACAACATCAGCGGGTTTTGAACGGTGAGAAAAAAAGTTAGTAATTTCGCCCACAGTGCGGTTGCCCCTGGTACCGGAGGCGTCTGTTTTCAACTTAAGCTTGTTGCAGTGCCCTAAATTTGTAAACAAAAATCAAATAAGGAAGTTTAAAACTATTGTTAAATACAACACAATGTCCAGATTACCATGTACAAGTAAACATTCCCTGTGCCTAAGTACCTGGACTTTTGTTTCATCTTGGTACCTTTACTTGGCATGACTCTGGAGAATCTTTGTGCATTCAAGAGTGTGATTCCAGGGGAGATTCAAATCAGATTCTTGTATTGTCGGCACTTAATGAGACTTGACAACCATTTTGCCTGCAAGAAAACAAACATTTTTCCTTAGTGTTATTATACTGCTGGCTTCGGATAAGTGGGAGAAGATCTGATTATGGTGGATTGTGTTTGTCAATTCAGGATCAGGTCAACTGACATGTTCATTAAAGTCACTCAATCACTTCAATGCTCTCCGGCTGACTGAAAGAAAAGAGGGAGGCGGCGGGATGTGAAGACAACTGAGGTTGTCCTACTCAAACATTCACCACACGAGGGTCGCACAATTTTGTGGTGTAATCCTAGCCTTGGCTAGAGTAGCTCTGTATCAGCTGGCCATATTCTCTTTTTAAAGCCCAACCATGTTCCAACATCAACAATCCACAAACCTCTATGGGGAGAAAAGTACAACAAGCCACAGATGAGAAGGCTCAGTGAACGGTGGTTAAAGACTTTAAAGTGCACGGAGAGACAAAATAGAGGGGAGAACTGTCAGCCAATGTTAGACTATCTTTTCACAAACTGTCTTGACCTTTAATGGTGTTTGTGGTGGGGATAGCATACCTCTATAATCACAATACAAATTCCTTCATTTTATTCTCCCATAGAAGTTATAAATCCAATGCACAGTTAATATTTGCACTTGCAGTGGTGTGGAAAGAGAGAGAGAGAGTTAGTTTTTAACTGCAGCGGGGAAAGATTTAAACAACCTGGACTGATGACTCGATCTCCGAGGCTTTAATCAATACCTTGGCAGAAGGGTCGTTAAACTGTGAGTACATCGTGTGCCTTTCCCTCCCTTTAACTTCCCATTAAGTCATTTCACTTCTGCCTTTGTATATTTTTTCTGCTCTTGCCTTAATTCTTTTGAACTTTCCATCCAATCCCCGGAACACTCCCCAACTCTCCAATCCCACACTTATCTTTTCTCCCGTCCACTTTCTTTCTACCTCTGCCTTCTCTTTCGGTGCCACGGTGGCTCTTTTCATCAACTGCATTGCCTCGCTGTTTTTTTTCCAGCCCCCACCCCAACTCTGTCTGCCCGTCTGTTCACTTTTCTCTCTGTATCTGTCTTGTATTTGTCTCTCTTACTCCCTCTTTCATCTCCTGTCAGTCTTTCAGTCTCTTTCAACAGTCTCCTTGTCCAGTTTTGGCTGATCAAAGCTGTGTAGCAGCTAGCCCGGTCTTTCAAGTTTGTGGTCATGTGTTTGCATGCAGCACGAGTCTCGGCAGGGTGGAAAAACCTTCAGAGAGAGTTTAAACAGGCATTAATACCCTGTTCAAGTTGTTTTTTGCGTGATTAGAAGCTGTTCGTATCATAAAACTGATTTAAATTTATCATTGTATTCTGGTATATATACTGATCGTTTTAATGTAGACGGAGATCAACTCCAAAACGCAGCTAAAACACTGGTGTTGACAGAGATCGTATTTGTTTTAATTCTCCGTTTGCAAACTAAAACGGAGTAGTGTGGATGGAGCCTTAGTATCACACTGCATCTCAAGTTTCTCTCTACATTTAATCATCAATAAAAATCAAACTGATCAAGTTCAGTGACCTCTTTCGTGAGCCTGAGATAGCTTATTGTCATAGAGCTCAATTGTTATCCAAATACTAATGAAACATTTTTTGAGCTAAATCATTGCCAGACATATTCCTTCATTACAAAGAACATCTTAATCCCACATTCACCTGCGATAAATACTCACTAGATCAGCAAATCTATCTCTTTAGCTTTAATACTGTTTTGCAGTCAATCCCTTAGTGTCTTGTGAGCAAGGTACATAAGATGTTGTTCACAAACTTCACCCACTAGACCAGCTCTTTTCTCCACCCTCCTTTTTTTTAAAAACCCAGACAGACAGCTCTCTGAGTCAGAGGAAAGACAGGTTTATCGGTCACATGGCCTGCTTTCCATATGCCAGACCTCCTTCACATCCACCTGGTCCTCTACCAAATAAGAACTAGGAGGGAGGGGGTGTTAAAATGCATGCCTTTCATCCACATGTTTTGAAGATCTGAACGAGAACCGGCTCCAAAGAGGCCACTGGAGGTCATGTGAAATTCTCAGAATTGTTTTTCTCCACTCAGAGGAAGGGATTGAGACCATCAAGAAAGACCTGAGAGGAGGGTGATGTTTGGACTACAGAAGCATGACAAAGAGAGAATGGAGGAAAGAAGTTTTACTTTGCTGTTTTTTTTACATTCCATAAAGGAAATTATTTTGTAGCACCAAGTAGAGATCGTAGGTTCGTATTTTAAGAGAGCAGAGATTGTTCTCATTCCTGAGAGGGCAATTAAGATGGTGTCATGTCTTGGAAAAATACACAACTTGCCCAGAACAATAAAAACAAAATTTCAGCTAGCAGGTTGTGGGTTTTTTCCATTTCGTTTAAGTTCGTCTGTCCTACCTTGCCCTCCATGCCTGCTGTGTGGCTCAGCGGGTCACACAATCACACCTATAGTTTGTTTGGTTTTTAACCACACTGGAAAACTTTTGTATTCGGTTCATTTGCGTTCAGATTGCTCATTTACATGTGAAACATGGCTCGTAAACAAAAGTCACGCGACTCATGAAGAAGCTCGTTTACTGGGCATGGTTTTGGTAATGTGTTCTCCTGCCAGGTTAGAGATTTTGGCTGCCGCAAGGAGTCCCAACTAATCTGAGTCCAGTTTCTGTAACCTTAGAAGAAACAGCTTAATGTGAGCATCAGCCTAGACGTCACTTTGTTCTCAGATTGAAAATCTCCTTCAACTCATACTCCTTTGTGTTTTGTGGTTGTTTCCTGTTTCATACATTCTCACTTCTAACAAATCACCTCACAGTTTGCAGGCGCTTTGGTGACGTTATTTGGTGTGAACCCAAGTTCAAATGACATCATTCTGGTCAAACAAACAGAGCTCAAGGAGGAAATGCGTCAGACTAAATACTCTGCTCCAAAGATGCTTTTTGTGGATCGTAATATAAAATACAGAACTTACTTGTCCTGTGTGTGTTTTTTTTGTTTTATTTCAGGGTCATTTATCTCCAAGTGAGCATGAATGACGGCCTGTCCTTCATCAGCAGCAACGTGCACATCACCACCACAGAGTGTGTAAGTAATTGCTCATGCATTTAACCTGCATTAATGCTTGAATGCTTTATAATATAATAAAAAGACTTAGACTCAGTCTGAAGGCTTTTTTATTTCTTCTTATACTGCATGTGGTTTCCACTCTTTTCCTTCTGTTTCTTCTGTCCTCTCCAACCTCATCTCTTTTCCCAGAAGTCTGTTGTTGTGTTCTCTGCAGTGAGTTTCCTTATCCCCTTTATCCCTTTCATCTTCCCTTTTTCAATTTTTTTCGGGAGCCGAACCACAGGGGTTAACAGTAGAGATCTACCCGAAAAAGACCTTCTGAACCCCAGAGGTGTGGCAGGAGACAAGCGGTTAGAGAAGCAGGTTCATGACCGTGCGCCTGCCGGTTCAATCGCAACATTTTGGTTGTGAAAGTGCATTTACCCCTCGGTTGGAGCTCCTCGGTAGCGATAGTTGAAGACTCCTTTAGCTCCCAGGACTGTGAACGTATATAACTGTGTCAGTGTGAAGCAGGGTGGAGCTTCATTCCCTGAAAAACAAGATTAACCAACATCCAATTTAAGACAATTTAAAGCAATTTAAGAAAATAAAATGCATATGTTGGAGCATATGGACCAGAGCCACAGCAGATTCCCATCTGACCAAAAAGAAACATGCTCTTTGAAGCTGTTCTCCCTCAGGCCATGTGACATCATATCCGTGACAATACTGTGAATTCAAAAGGCTGTGTTGTGGCTCATGATATACAGAGCTCAATTAGACATACCATAGCGATTAGCTGCTTCTAGCCACTAAACTAAACCATATAGGCTGAAGTCACACCAGGCTTAAGGAGGCACAATAAGTTCCTGACTTGAGATGGGAATGCCTGGTGCAATAAACAACATGCAAGCTAAGTCCCATGGATAAATCAAGAATGAAAACAAGCGCCACAATCCCCTGTGGACCCCTACCCAAATGAGTGCCACTTCCAGCAGTTTTAGTTTTTGTAGTTAGTCCACAAATTATGCCCATATAGCTCGGGAAAAACATACACTTTGTATGCATAATCGTGAAGAGACACAAATGTGGTCACTGTTGGAATCTTGGTCATTATTTGCCAAACCATTACTCCACAGATTCTGCTTGTCAGCTGTTTGAAGCTTATAGAAAACTTGTTGATGTTTGGTCGCAGTGACGACGGGCCCCACTGCAAAGTTCAGACAAATCCCCCGCGCCTTTGCCGCAAGATAGATAGGGGAAAGGCTACCCACATGTGATCCTCGTCTGTGGTCTGTAATGGGAACCATATTTGGCTCATGGACGTCTGTCCTAAAGTGAGCAAAGTAAGTGATGGATTCACTGGGGGATCACATAACATACACAGGCCATTGTCATCGAGAAGAACAAAAACATGAATATGCACAGTGACAGAACTGACAGTGAAAGGAAATCGGTCTGAAGATTTTTCTTAGCTTTCTTTAAAATCCATCATACCACTACAAGTACTGGACTTGTGTCATATGTGTGTCCTCCTTCCAGTTTGATGGCACCATTCTCCTGATCACCCTGCTGGTGTTGTTCCTCCTGCTGGCCCTGCTTTTCATGTGGTGGTTCTGGCCTCTCTGCTGCACTGTGGTAAGAAACCTAAGCTAAGCGATTTTTAAAAGCAACACTTGAATTATAACTATTCAGAGCTACATAAGGGGTTTGTCTAAACTGCATACTTAAAGACCCTTTAGAGGTCCTCTGAGACGTGTAGCGCTGATGTGACTAATGTGTTTGTGAAAAGCTGAATAACATCATCTCCTCTCTTATTCCTCCACAGGTGATCAAAGAACCACCTCCTCCACCTCCTCCTGAGCCCGTGAGTCAAAACACACACGCGTGTTAACCCACCAATTCTGATGGAGAATGGACAATGAACTAAACACTCAGTAATTCACTAGAAGCTCTTGGTTCTCAAAAATCCAAAAACGCATCAATATTGCAAGAATAACTTACAGTATGGATAAATGAGTGTGAAAACTCATAACTCCATGGCTTTCTTTTTATAATTATCAATAACACACATACACATCAAAGGTTATATAGACTATTTACAGATCTCCGCTCAATAATAAGTTCATTCTAACAGCCTCTGAATCTGTATGTAAAAAAGTGTAAAGGTGGAGAGGGTAAAGGTTTGTTTCTGTGTAATTATTTGTGTTTTAGGAGTCAGATGATGAAGACGGCCTGCCCAAGAAGAAGTGGCCCACTGTGGATGCCTCATATTATGGAGGAAGAGGAATCGGAGGGATCAAGAGGATGGAGGTGACAAAACAAATTATGGAAACTGGAGGACGTTAGATTCACTGCATCTATTTTGTTGTACATTCATGTTTTGTCTGCTGTCTGCAGGTGCGTTGGGGAGGGAAAGGCTCGACCGAGGAGGGGGCTAAGCTGGAGAAGCCAAAGAACGCTGTGGTGAAAATGCCAGAGCAGGAGTACGAGCCATTCGAGCCCAAACCTAAGAAAGCTCACAACAAGAAGGCGCCTCAGAACCGGAAGTGGTACACGCCCATCCGGGTAAACGCAGACTCAGTTTCCCTCAGGACCAACACACAGTGGGGCACCACAATGTTGGCATTTAGTTGACTTAATTGACAAAATATGTGTTTTTCAGGAAACTCAAAAATCTGCCTTGTTTACAAAGTGACCGCTGTGCATTTTTGAGTTTTTGCCCAGTACGTTTATTAAATAACTGAGGGTGGGAGAATTTTCTCAACCCACAGAGAAGCTGAAACTCCTTCAACTAAAGTTAAAACATGAAAAGCACCACGAGTGGAGTTGCAAAGTTTTCACAAGACAGCAGGGAGGAATAAAGCTCCATGTAAACCATGTTTATGTAGAATTACTTGCATAAGCACAAAATTCTCTAACATTATTAGACTTGGCGTCAGTGTTGTTTGTACTTTAATCGTACACTACAATACAGCTCTGTGTAGCAACACTGGCCCTTCATACAGTAGCAGCACTCCCTGTTATCTGTAGACACTGCTACTTTAATGGCTGTAGTCTGAATATGGCACAGGTCACAAACAGCACTGCAGTGATTCATAGTGAAACTTTACACTGTTGGTGCATCACAGTCAGTGTAGGGAAAAGGTCAAGGTCAAGTTTTACACTGACTAGTCAGTGTGTGTCGGGTTGTAGCTGGTCCCTTTGTGGTTCTGTATTTCTACACCTGAATATCCTTAATTGTTGAAGATATTGAGTTATTTCCTCGTAAGTGTGTGCCATCGAGGCTGCGGAGTCTGCACTTTTTTGGTCCAGTCAAATGCATCGTGACAGCAGCATTTTACACCTTATGTCATGAAGGAGAATTCCCCTCTTAATCAATTTAGCACAACATTTAGGTTTACCACTTGTGTCCTGCAGCTCTGTCTCAGGTTAAATGACTACTAAATAGAATAGTGGTTATTGTTGAGATCATCAGTTCTTTCCTGTGTAAAATGCCGCTCTGTTGCCAAACCTTTTTTGGCAGATTGTTGTATTTGTGAAAATTAACACTGTCAGTGGCAAGAGAGAAAATGATTCACTGCGATTTAAAGGTCATGTGTCTTCAGTTAATCAGACGTGAACCAAAACATGACTAAGTGACTCATCAGTACAGCCTCAACCAGGGAGGAAGGAAGTAATCAGTAGAATCAGCTGCTGTAGTGTTTGTTTGGGATTAAAACCTGCAGACGCTTGGCTTTCAAGGAACACAGCTGAGGACCACAGACCAAATGTTTGCTGATACAGTAGAATCACTATTAATAGGATATTATCAAGGATTGCAATGTAGAAGATTGGGTGGCCAGCTGTTAACCATCTCTCTCACCTCTGTCCTGTTCAGGGTAAACTGGATGCTATCTGGGCTCTGTTTCGCCGCGGGTACGACCAGGTCTCCCTGATGAGACCCCAGCCTGGAGATCATGTGAGTACCTCAGCGGTGCACCATGGAAATATTTCATTTCATCAAATGCTTTTACCAACACCTACTTACATTCACGTCTCCAGTTCCTCCCTCCTGTAGTGTTTCATACCTGTGGTGAGCAAAGGCTGTATGACACTCTTCTTTCTTTCGCCTCACTCTTCACACAACTATCATATTTTTCCAGATATTCTTATAATGTTTGTCTTTTTTTCCCGGATTTTGTTGAGTTCACTGGGTAGATGATATGAACGTTGAAGTTTATTTATAAAGAAAAACTGTAATTTTGCAGGCTGAATAATGCTGACAGCTAGCTAGCTAGTAAATTTAGCTAACTTTAGCTCTATGAGTTGGTTGAAAATGCCATCTCCAGTTGACTTTGTAATGTGTCTAGCTGACTTGTTGTAAAACAAGAACTCAAATATGCACTTGGTGGCTACATACATGCTGTCATACTAACAGACTGAGGCTAAAGCTGGGAGTAAATAAAGAGCATTGTTTTGCCGTACTGTTCGTATCTTTTAAAAAGTTTTCACCTTTTAAAAAGTTTTCACCTTTAAAACTATTAGAGGAAGGGCTTTTAGGATAAGGACTAACCAATGTGGCAAACAAAGCAAAATCTCGGGTAATACGTTTTACTGGGGTTCCCAAATCCAGAGCAGGACTGACTCACTAATGTTACCCTTCACACAACGCTAGCATCCAGGACCAGCTTCCACACAGTGAATGTGCTATGTTGAAGGTTACACAACCTGTAACCCCGCAAATAATGCTCCGTGGCCTTGAAAGTGGCGGTGGGTAAGGTTACTACGGTTGGTGCTGAGCTAGTTAGCCAGACAAACACTGTTTAACCGATTTTGTACATGTTTGCTCTTGTGTGTGGTTTTTGGTAAGGCTAAAAATAAAAGACTCTGTCACTGATGAGCATTGCTCTTACCACAGTTCCTTATTTCCACACTGCTTTACCATGTGGAAACATCCAAAGCATGACAAGCCTGCAGTGCCTGCTATGCTATGATTGGACAATTGCTGTTTAGAGGAGGGGTTTAGCTAAAAGTCAGTTTCTTGCAGACTATTTGTGAGAATATTTCTTCAGAGGGACAAAAAAGCTCAGAACCCCAACATTAGGTTTCAAACTAGCTCGGTTTGACCCGTCTTCCAGCGTGTCTACAGCCTGAAAATGCTTCAGTCATCTTTGCCCATTACTCATCGCGTCCTCCCTTCCTCCATCTGGCCCTCTGTCTTATTCACTCCTGGTGTTTCTATGCTGGCTAACACCTCTGTTGGCCCGTCTCCATCCTGTTGAGCCAGCCTCGCTCTCACACCTGCTTCACATTAGACGCCATAAAACGGATAGAAAGCAGAACCGCAGCTCGCACCCAGACACATCCTTGTAGCTGATGTGTTCGTGTGTCTAAGGTGGTAAAAATTTCCTCTTCTTTTCTGATCAGCCACATGGTTTAGTTTTAATGCCCGGAGCCTTTGTGTCAAAAAAATGCTGAGTTTTTATTGAATGTGGAGAGAAGATGGGAGTTCACTGAGTCCAGAAAGCTCTCTAGGGATGTTTTAAATCCCTCTGACACATTTAGTCTTAACAGGAACTTTGTAAATCATTGGTACATGATAAATGAGGAATACGTCATAGTCCATAGACTGCTTGGTTTTTAGCCACACTAGTGATATGTTTACCGCAAATTAGCAGATGTTGCAGTAGCATACTAAAACACTAAAATAAGATGGCGCACATGGAAAACATTATCACTGATACACAACAGCATGTTAGCATTGTCACTATGACCATGTTAGCATGCTAACTTTAGCAAGTACAACCTTGCAGAGCTGCAAGCATGACTGTAGGCTCTTATTCTACAATGTTATAATCAAATAATACTGTCTTGCCCAGATTTTTCTTCCTCATCAACTCACTTTCTCCCTTAGTACTTTTTTCCTGAACTCCCCCAACCTGTTCTCCACCTTTTCTTTTATTATGAGTTGTTTCCTTCCCTTTCTTATCCTTCCTACTCCCCACGGCTGACTCTCCCGCTGATCAGGCACCATCCCAAGCGCTTGTTAAAATCATGCATGATTAGTAGAAAATTTCCAATGATCTTTTGTAACAGGAATTCCACATTTAAGAGTGTTTTCTTGGCACCACAAACAGGTACAGAGACAGGATTTGCTTTCAGCTTTCCCTGACAACAGACAAAAAAAGGTCACAGTTAGCTTACAATTACATCTTTACCAAAGTTAACTGGCAGTCAGATAATAAAACTTTGGATTTGATTTCCTTAGTCAACAAATTTCTTATAGCGATGGCTGTATATGTAAGCTCTGCATGACGCAATTTCTTATTTTCTAGAAGAAATCGTGTCTCGTGTCTTTCCACTCATATGATGTCGCCTCCTCAAGTCATTTGTGGTTTGTAACGAAGCGGCAGAAACATCTCCCAGGCCAGAGAGCCGGCTCGTTTCTAGACATTGCAGTGTATAATTTCAAAGAGAAAAGAGTGGAAACAAGCCCTGGACACCTTTTCATTTCTTTAAGAGTTAGCTGAAAAGCTATTTGATGTTCAATATCCTGCCACGGTCCCACCCATAATAGACCTTTTTAGAGCAAAGTCTCACACTCCAAAGCTGGCAGACTTTCAAATTAATAGGAACACTCGCTCTTTACATGAGGCCAAGTTGGCCGAGTTCAGTCTGGATTCTTCATCGGTCATTCTTTTGCCATGGTGAGTTTGTCATCGCTGTGCTGATTGCCACAGTAGCAGCTGAATGTCACCTTTGAGGCCGGCCTGGCTACGGTCCTTTAAAGTGTAGTCATGAGCCTCAGTATCTGTTTGGGAAAGTGAGCCCTTACAGTGAACGTGCATCCATCCTGCCCTCAAACATTCAGGTATTTTATTACAATTAAACTTTTCCCAAAAATAAATTACTAATTTTCTCCTTTCCATTACAAGCTAATACACAGTGTGAACTTTTATGCAGGTCATTTGCTGCTCTAAACAACTCCTGTGGGCTAGCGCTGCTCAGGGAACAATCTACTGATACACATGAAATTATGCATTTTTTATGCATGTCCAAGTACTGTACTGACTACACACACACACACACTTTTCCTTTCTCCTTTCAATGAATCCAATAAGCCCTCTGCATGTAAGGAAGGCCACTGAGCAGCAGGATGTAGAGCAGAGTGGCTGTGTGTGCGTCTGTAACTCACCAGATAGACCAGAGTTAAACTCACAGGAATGAAGTTATCTACATTTGAGACAGGAGTTAGCCATTATGGGAGTTTGTGTCACCAAACCACATCCATTACACTGACGTCAGAGTGTACAGTACGAGGCAGAGCTAGTCCACACTTAACACACACACTCTCTCTCTCTCTCTCTCTCTCTCATAAACACATGCCTCCCCAGAGAAGCATTTAGCTGGCTTAAGGACATGAGGTAATATCTAAGGCAGACGACTGCCAGGGCCGTCTCCACCAACTGACCGACCATGTCTCACACACACTAACACACTAGGCCAGGCCTAGACAATTTTATGACCTTGGTAAGACTGTAGACAGTGTAGGAGGTCAGCGAGAAAGAACGAGCGAGTGTGGCTTTCTTTAATCCAGGAAAATGTTCATAGATTTAAACCGCAGCTGGGCGCAAACAGAACGATGTACAGGAAGCCAAGCTGGGATAAAAAAGAAAAAACAGGATCAGATTGGTTTGAAACTTCAACGAGGTCTACACATACACAAAGGCTTGTTTTAATTAACTTCAACAAGCTAACAGCAACACTGGGGTCTCGCTTGCTTACATACTTAAAGGAAAAGCCTCTACACCTATATGCTTTCTTGCCAACAGTTAGATAAGAATATCTATACCTCTCTCATATCTGTATGCTAAACATGTAGCCACCACCTGCAGCCAGTTAGCTTACCTTAGCAGCAAGATTGGACAGCTAGCCTTACTACCACTTCTAAGGCTCATTAGTTACATCTCATTTGTTTAATTAATAATATGTACAAGTTAAACAAACAAGATAGATGTGATAATTTGTGAGCTTTAGTGGTACTGTTGTTGTGCTAATCTAATTTAGCCAGTTACTGGGGGGTAGCTTCATGTTAAGCAGACAGACATGGGAGTGGGGTCAATCTTACCTTCTAACTCTCGGCAAAAAAGTGAATAAGCGTATTCCCCAAATGTCACATTTTTTCTTTAATATTTACTGTGTCGTTATTGTTAGTTTTAAAAAATATATGGAAAAATCTGCAGTTTTAGATTATTTTATGACCTTTGTGCATCTTGTTTCACTAATTCATTTACCCAATTTTGCTGTTTAACTTTGATTAAACTAGTACCCAGTACAGATATAATATATAACAGCTTTAAATAGTCTGCAGTAGATGTTGAGATGTTCAGCTAAGTGGTAGCAGACCAGAGTGGATGGCTGGGCAGAGGCAAATGTTTAAAGTGGCATAATAGAAAATTCTTCCTTCTGGTTTAGTTTTTGCTTTTATCTCCAAATATTTTGTCTCCATTTGTCTAAATTTGACTCACTTTAGTTTAATTCTACAGTGCTTCGTCTAAAAAAATGTAAAAAAAACACTACTCTATACCAACAGGTCCTTAATGTTGCCCCGCCTTCTTTGTAAATGGTCTTTTCTCTGTGATCATTCGTGCTTTTTCTCCATAGACATTTCAGTAAATAAAAAGCTTTTTAAAATTTGTGAAGAGGAACAACACTATATGCATGCGTTTTGTTTGTTTTTTAAGATGGAATGAGCTGAACTCATTCCATGCAGCTTTTGTAGTGACAACAATCCCCGTTCCCTCATTTTCCACTTTGTAAAACCATGGTCCTGTGGCTCCAATCACCGATACTGGTTATTTGCAGATTAACATGACTTCACTCCCCTCTGGCTGCTAACCACATGCAACCATGGAGCAGGTCGAGTTACTACAGTAACAGCGACCTCTGTGAACTCGGGTGAAGCTCGTGGTTAGTGTAACATTTTACGAGTAGCTCAGGAGTGAAATGTGATTTCTGCAAGACCAAATGAATTTGTTTTACAGTCTGATAAGTCAACCTAGACATTTCAACTGTTTCCAACTCAGCTGCTACCTTTTACCCCTCACCCACACACACCCACACACAAGCCCCAGCCACTAACCCCAATCCCTCCCTATCTTTTTTTTTTCTTTCTCCATGTGGTCATGTATGAGGGAACTTTGGTAAGCGACTCACAGTTCTCAGGAAAGAACATTGTACTTACCGGCATGATTGGGAGCGGGGGCGTCAAAGCGGGGATTTACATGTAATCTGGAACACCAGCTGGCCAAACACACACACAGACAGACACACACACAAACAGTAGATACAAAGAACATGGGGTGGTGATGGTGCATAGATAAGATGCTTGCCTTTGGTGTGGGAGATGTGGGTTCAATTCCCACTGTGAGACATACACCATTGTGCCCCTGAGCAAGACACTTAACCCCTAGTTGCTACAGAGGTGTGTGACCTCTGACATGTATAGCAATTGTAATCTCTTTGGATAAAAGTGTCAGCTAAATGAATTTTGAACAGTGGCAGGCGATGGACTTAACCCAGATGTGCATCACAGTTATCCTGTGTATGTGTCTGTACCTCTAAGTATGAGTGCGTGTACAGTTTTACTTGACATGTCAATTCTTTTTCAAAATCTGTCCCAGTTCTACTTTATTACCACCCTGCTTTTAAATAGTGCATACACACTGTAGTTTAACTGCACACCATGTAATCACCTCATACCATGCTCGTTCATATTCATTTTTGGTGTACTTTCATGTCACACATGAGATACATTCTTTGATTCTTCACTGAGTCAAGAATTGTTGTGGTCTTTTCCACTGAAACACTACACACACTACCACCATGAGTCTACAGTCATGCCAGCATCTGTGGAAGCTGTACTGCTAACACGGTCCCAATGACATGCTGGCGTTCAGCAGGTACAATGTTCACCACATTCCCCATCATAGTTTAGCGTGTTTGCACTTGTTGTCATGATATTGTTGCACCAAAACCTAAATAAAATCAATTGCAGATTAAAGTTAATCTTATTTGTCTCTTTCCTTCTCTTTAGGGTCGATGCATCAACTTCACAAGAGTGAAAGACGAGTCAGCGGCAGCCAAGGCCCCCCATCGCACCCCGATCCACACACCCTCGCCCCCGCCACCGGACTACCGCCCTGTGACCCGCACCGCCTCCTCGTCGCCCACCTCCACCAGCCCTCCTGCCAGATCACCCCCGTCAGGCCAGATACCCCCAGGACCGCCACCATCTCGCACACCCCGGGGCTTCCTTGTGCACCGCCGTCACGTCCCCCGCCCAGCCTTCGACCCTGAATCACACAGACAAACCCCTCCCACGTCCCAACGCACCCGCTTTGATATCACAGACTTTCTGCTCTGCTGACCAGTTCTTTCAGTTTGAAGGTTGTGGTCCTCGCTGCCCAAGATACTCCCGCTATTGGCCAAAGATCAGCAGTATTTTGAATCCCAGTCATTCTGTGTTCCTCTTCTCGCATCGGAAAGAATGTCAAGTGAAACTGTGAGATGGCAGGAAGTTATTTAAACATGCTAACACCAAGCATGATACATTCTGGAGGTAACAAATGTTATATATAATACCAGGATACATCGGTGAAATATTACCAACCTCAATGCTCTCTGTGTTCACTGTTTATATGCAAAGTAAAGTGTGGAGCCCCCAAAACAAAATAGTATTTGAGCAAGAAAGATTATTTTGACAAACAGTTTGACTTGACATTCAGTTGCATACATAGGGCGATTGGGGTGATACGGGGAAATATTTTAGTTAGTGTTGGCGTTTGTAAGATCAGGGAGGATTGTTGCTGGACAGCAAAGCATGTAGGGACAGGAAGTCCACAGAAGAATACTGCGATGGATGAAATTTCTTTGTTGTCTTTATCAACTACTGAGTTAGGCCATTGTTGTCAAGAGTGAAGTTGAAAAGTAGGTTGTACATGAAAATCTAAGTTTAAACATGAGCAGAATGGATTGGCTTATTCCGCCATTGCTATGGTGGTGCATCACAGGTTTTGGGAATTAGATTTCAAAGCAATTTCAATTGGTTGTGTTGTTAATGGTGTTGAGTAACTAAGCTGATTTGCTAAAAAAAAAATTTGGACATTGTTACTTGTACTCAGTGTTTTTCTTCAACTTCTTGTGATGTTTCTTCTATCCAACAACATGCTAACCCAACTAATTCCAGCCCTGTAATACAGAAATGATTCAGTTACATGATTTAGTGGTCCAGTGTAGGTACCATTCAGTGACAGGGACGTGTACAGATGTTATGTGGAAGGTATGTTTTTACAATATGTGTTTAAGATGAGTTTTTGAGTGTTACATTGGTTAATATCTTTGAGGCTTTGGATTTTGTCCTTAAACACCTTATCATGTAGTTGAAATTATAATACAGCGATATGTCTTTTTGTTTTTTGTTTTTTAATGGTATCTGCGCACATAGACTGCTGGGCAACTACAGTATGTATTTGTTTTTGTTAGCATTTGGACATTGAAACGAGCAACCAGAAATCAGGTTAACGTCTCTCCTCACTTTTTTTTAATACACAATCCTGATACTGTATTTTGATACCAATGTGTTTTTTATGTCTTCAGTTTTATCATCACCGGTCACATTGCAACTGCAGGGCAGTTCAAAGAGCATCTAATTTATTTTACTCCCCGAGAGAAATAAAGGAGAGTACTTGAATATTGACAAGGTGTCCAACCGCCAAGACGGACACTGTGCGCAGAATTTAGAAACACAACAGCTAGCCAGTTCACAGAAGGTTTACCAGCGTTTCTCAACCCCTCTGCTACAGTGAGAAACATTTGAAACAGGAAGTGAACCAGCTACATTTTATGCTGTGTAAATTAAAAAAAACAAAAAAAACTTTTGTAGCAGGCCAAAAGACGCCGCCAGCGACGTTTACATGTTAGCAGTGACTACATGCTAAGGGGGGGGGACACCTCCCCGCCAAAAATAAACAAGAACAGAACTATGACATTGTGGCTTCAGGGTGTAGAAAAGAGGGGGAAATTTGCTGGTATTCCTTTTATATCCAGTGCCTACTGGAATTTTCATCTTGTTTGATTTTTTACACTTTCATTTTGATGTGTGTCATTCAGCTATTTGTGTACTGTTGTGTTACTACAGGCATTCATAATCGCTCTCAGTGCCTTAAAGCTGAAAGCTAAAAGAAAGGCACCTACGTTGCTTCTCTCATGTGTCCAACCACCCACACAAACCTTTTCTTCCGTTGAAAACAACTTGATCTGACTTGAATTAGAACACATTTTAATCAAGGGCTGTATGCGCAATCCTCAAATGAATTGTGATGCATTGGTATAGTTTCCATGAACAAATCAGACATGTGTAAAACAATCCAATTTTGCTAGCAATGTCTAGCATCAAATTTGACCCTCAAATTTCCCACAACCCCTATAGGTTCTGATCAAAACAGCTACCTAGCTGTCTCTGACTCCCTCTCCAATTTTGCTTTTATAGCTCCATTTCAAAACACAGTGCACCTTTTACATAGGTTTTTTTACATACATTTTCTACATACCTATTTGTTAAGCCATGTTACCTTTTATGGCGAGACCACTGGGAATTAGATTTTCCTTAAAAAAGTCAGCTGTTTACAGATTCCTAAACCCACAACACAATTATACTGTATTACGTTGTAATTTGCTGCACCATCAAACTGCATCTTGGTCTGACTTACCCCGTTTTTTTTTTTCAACTAAAGCAGATCTCATCGCCTCAGCTGAAACTTATAAATTACGCCATCTATACAAGATACGAGGAGTGGATGTATTTCATTTGTTACATACACACATGACACATTTGAACGCTTGGATAGAAACCCAAAGTATAATTACTTAATTGTTGTTTATGAGACTTAAAAGGTTTTGTTTTTATACAGTGCGCGAATATTGTTCACCTCTGTAACACCTAAGAACGAATTTCAGTATAAATGCAGCATTGATGTAGGATCAGTATTTGAGGGGGGAACTTCTGCAGGAGCTATCGCTGTCAGAGCTCAATGTCATTCCTAATCTTGATGAGATATATTATGTTAACCAGTGTTTTTTACACATATAAACAGCAGTACTGAGTCAAATATGAAAGACGTATATGATTTTCTCTTGTTGGTTGACATGACTTTTTTTAACAGTATCAAAAGGTTGACTTCCAAGCTTCTACCAGAGAGTTTCTGTGTGTGATTCTGCTTGCACCCATGTGTAATACAGGATTCAGTGTCTCACCCGCCTAATTCCCCTTTTGCAGCTCCACCCCTGCAGGTTTGGACAGTAGATAACTGTACCATTCACAGTTCGCCTTGTGTACTACCCACACACACATTTTGGCTACTCTCATAAGCACAGAAAAAACTGGCTTTTGGTCTTGCCCTTAACCTATTTATATGAAACTGATGCTGTACCTGCAGCTGAGTCTCATGATTACCAACACTGGCCTTTTCACGGCAGACATTGTAACTTATCATAGCAGGAAAATCACAAGTGTAACTAATAACAGTAATGGTTGACTCAGTTTAATTAAGTTCCACTAGCCCTGACATGCATAGTACAGTAGGGCCTAGGGCCTAAAACACCTGAATGTAAAGCAGACATTAATACTGTGACATACCCTAGGTTAGACTGTCTGCTGTGAGAAATGTCTTTAAATAAATCAATAAGATATTCTAAGTGGCAGGGAAATAAATTATGGCACCATGGGCTTTTTCACATAAGACATTTTAACATGTTTAAGTAGGAAAGCACAGGTATAAATGAAAATGTTCATAATTGCTGAATTCCATTTAACTGCTTCACTTTGAGGGTCCAGCATGTGCATACTGGCTCTCTGTTATGGCTTACTAGGATACTTGAATATAACGGAGCCATCTTTAATGTTATTAGTAACATCTGTGCAACAACAGTTGTATGCTCCTGTCACAACCGTATCTATTGTGTACATTACAAAATCTGGACACTAATAACCGGATCTTCATCAAATTGAGGTAAGAATAGAGACATGCATTGTCCGATGGCCCGGCGGTGGCATTAAGTTTTTTTCCAAGAGAGACATGAGACAGAGGTAAAATGCAAAGCACAAACATGGCATTTATTGTCTTCCATACAGACACGATGAGACACCAACATCAACGAGAACAAACATACACTGAAA